ATTTCCTCAACTCAGCCTTTGAAAGGAGACCTGCCTGCTCTTCAAGGTACTCTGCTTTTATCAGATTTTCTTCTGACTTCATAAAAAGCAGCCCTGGTGACTAATAGTTTATAGTAATTTTCTCCTTCCCCTGAAGTTTTTAAATGCAGTCAACTAATATGCACTTATTTGATGCTTGTTTTAAAATTACAACGAAATAGTTTCTAGGTTTTGTGAAAATTGTGATTTCTGTAAGACCCAGCAACTGTCCACACTTTTGTTTTTAATCTGTGTGCGTAGTCACTCTTTGTACATTGGAATCTTTAAGGATGCTCACAGACTACCCAAATATTAAGCAAAATGACTCAGTTGCTCAGTCCTAAGCAACCCTAGTTGTACATTTATATTTATCATTGTACACGCCATCCAACCAAACAAATATGAACAATACGAAATGTATGTTTTTTGTTTTTTTAGGTGGCAGTGTGCAATGTGAAACAACTCAATTCTGTGTTTTAAGATTATAAAGTCATGGTTCGTCCATTGCAGACCAAGCCACATACACATTTTCATTAGCTTGGCTACAGATGAAAACGAAAGGGCAATGGTAATAAGATAAGCGCTTGTATGCAACAAAAATCAAATACTAGGAAGCAGGAGTGTTAGGAGCACTGAACCTAGAGTGATGCAATAACCCAGTTACGCTTGAGCCACAAAAAACAAAACAGAAAACAAACCAATGAACTGCCGCTCTATGGGCCTGCTGCTCTGTGACGGGAGAACTCGAACCCTTCCAGTCTTGCCTCTTTGCCTTTGGGGCTCCTTCTCACCGGGTGACCTTGGGTTCGTTAGTTGCTTGGATGGTCTAACAAGGCTTGAAGGTGTGTTTGGAGTCCGTGGCACACACAACAGTGCATCCACTTGCCCAAGCCGGCCTGTCCATCCCCCTTTGTAGCTTGACGAGAAGGGAGGCGCTGGGATGGGACCTGGAGTGCCCATGCTGACTGTGGCCCATGCTGACTGTGGCCCAGGCTGACTCTGGCCCAGGCTCGGCCCGAGCCGTGCTTGGAAACACCTTTTTAACTCCGTTGCCCAGCACATGGCTTTCCAAAGAATGGTCCGAGGACAAAAAAAAAGGAGCAGAAGGCGACACCCGGTTTGTTTAGGCAGGTGACTGTGGCAGCCTCGTGGCTGTTCTGGAAGGTAAAGGAAAATCATCCTGAGAGACCCACATGGGATGGAGTAGGAGAGACTAATATCAAAGAAATTTGAGGTGTGTGTGTAAGATAGATTATTCTCTTATATCAGAAGGGTCCTATTTCGATTACTGCCCAATGTGCTGACTGACGTTTAGTATAAGTCCCATGTTTTGTCATCGTTCAGAGGTGGGGTGGCCCAACGCCACGCTGTTCTCCAAGAGGCTCTCTTCTCACAGTCCCGTCGATGGGAAGAGGAGTCGGTTCTCTGGGGGAGAATAAAGAATAGAACTCCCCCCTCCCCCCCCCTGCACAGTGACGTTTGCTGAGACTGGGAAGCTCTGCAGTTGGGATGGCTCGCTGTCTTCCGGGAGCTAGGACACGGTGCACGAGATTGACAGGTTTCATGACCCAGGAGAAAACAGAGGCTGCATTTGTGAGGAGTCTTCCCCTGCCACTGGCCACCGCTCCCTGATACCTTGTGGGTGGAGGGAGATGTCATTGCTTCGATGTTACCGTCGGTGTGGAAGTAGAAGCCAGGCCAGCAGGAATTAATCCTTGTTTGATTAATGATGAAGCTGGCATCCTGAGGCTGCCTATCCTGGCTAATGTTAAGGTGTATAATGGTAGGATGGCTGAGTTCACTTTCAGCCTCCCTGTGGGCATCTGCTGTACTGCGTGTCCAAAGTAGCTCATTTGGGTACTGGTTGAACCAACAGGGTTGGCAGGATGGGAACTCTTTGGAGTTGGTATATAGTAGGGCATGCCTGTAATGCCAACACGTGGGAAGTAAAGGCAGGATTACGGGGTCAAGGTGTTATCTTCAGCTACATCTGGACTTCCAGGCCTGTCTGGGCCACATGAGGCCCCATCTCAAAACAAAACAGGTTGGGAATGTAGGTCAGGTTTTTTTTTTTGTTTTTTTTTGTTTTTGTTTTTGTTGTTGTTTTTACGAGACAGGGTTTCTCTGTATTGTTTTGGAGGCTGTCGGTCCAGCCCAGCCTCGAACTCACAGAGATCCGCCTGTCTCTGCCTCCCGAGTGCTGGGATTAAGGGCGTGTGCCACCACCGCCCGGCTGTAGGTCAGTTTTTACAGAGCCCTGGATCTCTCTCATTCTGTAAGCTGTGGTGCAGCGTGTGCCCACCACTCTTGGAAGATAGGAAGCACAGTTGTCCATTGCTGTCTTCCGGCTATTTGGGGGACTTGGAAAGTAGCCAGGGATAGGCACCTAAATGATAGAGAGAGGTGACTACAGGTAATTTCAGTAACTACTTTCCTGATGTCATCTTTAGTGGTAACCTGTAAAAGAGGCTGGTGTTACAGGGACATGTGAAACTTGGGTGTAGAGCCAGCTGTTGCTGGATACTCAGAGAGGACTGAATGACAATATTGGCTTTGAGCATGCCTTGTTTCATGACTGCCAGGTTGATTCCTGTCCTCGAACCCATGCCCACCTTTAGGTCAGGTTCTAGAGAGAGTCCTCTGCTTCGACACACTAGTGAACTCTGGGGCATGGTCCCTACAGTGGCAAGCCCTTGCCTCCTCTGTAGTGGCTATGCGTCTCAGGGTTACAGAACAGTCCCTCTGCCGGCTGTCCTGCACCTGGGGCTGCGTCTCAGGGTTACAGAACAGTCCCTCTGCCGGCTGTCCTGCACCTGGGGCTGCGTCTCAGGGTTACAGAACAGTCCCTCTGCCGGCTGTCCTGCACCTGGGGCTGTGTCTCAGGGTTACAGAACAGTCCCTCTGCCGGCTGTCCTGCACCTGGGGCTGCGTCTCAGGGTTACAGAACAGTCCCTCTGCCGGCCCTCTGCCTGGAGCTTGGGCTGTCTTGTGCTGATTCTTGCCTTTTCAGTAGTCCCATGGATGTTATACTATGTCATGTTGACTGGTTGTGTTACGTTTTCCTGTAAGGAAACCCCCATGGGGCTGTTGTGAGCGTTCAGTTAATTGCTAGGGAACACAGGGATTCCCACATTTTTATCATCTAATCATAAACTACTCCAGTGCCTTGACTGCACCAAGTTTATCTGCGATTTCTACCTCCCCTCAACGGCTTCTTATTATTGGGTCCTCACACAGGACTTCATTCATCTATCTACCTGGGAGGAGCTAGAAGGGAAATCTCTACCTTGTCTTTTGATCGACATGTCGTCAGTTCAACGAGGCTTTGTCCTTGTCGTTGTGAAAGTAGAACCAAATTACTGCTGTGAAATTAGGCGTGCATACTTGTCAACTGTGGGAAAAATGCAGATACATTGGGTTTGTAAAAGCTTTCAGATTTATTGATTTTATGTGTATGTGTTTTGCCTGCATATAAATGCACTGCGTACATGCCTGGCGCTTGCTGAAATCAGAGTCGGGTGTTGGATCCTCTGGAACTAGAGTCATACATGATTGTAAGCCACCATATGGGTTCTGGGAACCAAACCTGGGTAATTTGCAAGAGTAGCAAATGCTCTTAACTGCTGGGCCGTCTCTCCACAGGCCCCAGGATCAGAGCAGACTAGCCCGTGAATTTCATAGTTGTCTCACAGATGAGGAAGTAAAACATGTTCACTTACTTTCAGTGCATACACTGAGGTGTGGAGATTATAAATAACCTTGAGAAGTATCTGAGGCTAATTGTCTCCATGGGTGTCAGTACTCAGGGTGCTCAAAGAAACATACGACTGGAAGGGTAACATTTTTATTTTCATATTATTTCTTAGATGTCTTAAACTTTGCCTTTTCCCAGTGTGCTTGAGAGGTAGCAAAGTTTTTGAATTGGCCAGTCTCATTACTTAACAGTCTGTGCAAAGAAAGATGGCTATGTGATGTTTGAAATCTGTGTGCTTGTGGAGAATGTGTGTACAGTATGCAGGGACGGTGTGCTGTGGAGTTTGACTAGAAATGTGGAGGAAAGGAAGTTAAGTCCTTGGTACATCTTTTGTCTTTCCTCTCCAGTAAATTATCAGGGTTGTGACATATTATAGTCAAGTCTTTAAAAAATATTTTTAAACAAAATGTTTCCTTCCCTCATAAGGTTTTTATTTTGGTGTTGTATGGGTCCCTGTGCTGGGGTCTGAAAATGTTCTCAGTGTGTTTCTGTGATTTTGACCTGATAATCTCATTTGGATTTACCAGGCTCAACAGCTGTTGTTTTCGTCGACGACTGCAAAGTCGTATTAAGGTCTCAAATTGATAAAAACCCTGCTCAGGGTTGCCCTAGATTATTCAAAGATTTTTTTAAAAAATACAAACCTTGTCTCCAAGCCCTGTAATTGTCATTTTCTTATAATAAAAATTATAATAATGCTAATGATATCCCAGAATATGTATTACATAGGCTAAGCCTCTTTGTTGCTCTCCCATAGAACAGTAGTGTGGTTTGTAAAGTGACATTTTCTGGATAAATCAAGCTTTCCTCCTTTCTCCTGGGGGGTGAAGAGACCTCAGTCTCTTCGTGATGTCAATGGTGTCTGGTGTGGTGTGATGGTGTCTGTGATGTCCGTGGTATCTGGTGTGATGTGGTGTCTGTGATGTCTGTGGTGTCTGGTGGGGTGTGATGTGATGGTGTCTGTGATGTCCGTGGTGTCTGGTGTGATGTCAGTGGTGTCTGTGATGTCTGTGGTGTCTGGTGTGATGTCAGTGGTGTCTGTGATGTCTGTGGTGTCTGGTGTGATGTCAGTGGTGTCTGTGATGTCCGTGATATCTGGTGTGGTGTGATGGGTGTTTGTCGTGAGATCTTAATGATCCTTTGGCTTTAGCAACGGAGAGTCCGATGCTGAGAAGATAGAGCCTTGGTAGTGTCCTGGGGGCGTGTAAGCAGAGTAATAGCATTTCACTAGATTATTCTGCAGCTTTATTGGAAGAAGAAATCAGGTGTTAAGTCTTGCCTTTTAATTTCATTATTTGATGCAACAGGAATGTTTCAGAACTCCTTGGCGATGCCCCTGCCGTCCGTCCTTCAGGTCGCCCAGTTCTAGCATGGTGGAGGGCAGGGCGCTGCCCCGACATTCCTCCTGGTTTGTTTTGTTGGCTATGATACCATCCAGTCTCCGTGCCGTTCCTTTCCCTCTTTTTCCTTTTGAGGGTTTTAATCTGTTCTCCTCCTGTATGCAGGGCCAAAGCAATAGATTTCTTTGTTGTGTGGTGATGCAGCCGGTCATTCCTGCATTTGCAGGGATGGTATGTATGCCTCCGTTTCCGAGCCACCCCCCCCCCCCAGGGACGCAATCACAGTGGGCCATGACAGCTTCGTGAAGGATAATGGCAGCTGCCGCCCTGTTTTTATGGGTAATCTCAGACCCACCGAGTGTACCCTGCACAGCACAAGCCCAGAAGAGAGAGACAGACACATGGCCCCTGAGCTCAGGAGCCCCCTTTCCTTCCCACCATACTGTTTGCCTACCCAAATGGTGTGTGCTTTCCCAAGGCAGTTTTCATACAAGGAATTCAGTCAACATGTTGTGTAAAAATATGCCTAGTGTCAGCAAACTGTAAAAAAAATAATTGTCCACTAATCTCTTCCCTATAATAGTTAAGTCTTGCAATGCATGTATAGTGAGGGAGGTTTCCTGCCTGTTAAGTCAGTGACATTGTGAATGCCCAGCTTGAGAACCGCCCAGCGATCAAGTAGATCAAGCATAAATCTTCCTAGCACAGTTCTTAAAAAAAAATAAATAAATTTCACAATAAAAAGTTTGGGGTTGGTTGGACGGCGGGGTCATGTGACATCTCATCCAGGCTGGAGGTCCTTTCTGCCTTTGCCCCCCCCCCCACTGCACATAATGCCCCGTGGCGGGCTCTGGGAGGCAAACACAATGACAGATTCTTGCAAACTTACATCACAGCCCATCCCCCTCGGCTTAGGGTGCAATAGCGGCCCGAGGTCCTGTGTTCAGAGTGGATGTGTTTTCCCTCTTCCGACTCCCTCCTCCTACTCCTCTGCACTTCCGACTCCCTCTCCTCCTGCTCCTCTGCAAAGGCTTTTCCTTGGAGGCTTGAGAATGGACAGCAAAAGGCCAAAGCCTGGCTGCGGTTCCCTGGAGACATGAGGTGAACAAGGATGAGAGCATCTCATTGCACCCCCAGCAGAGTGAAAGAGCAGGCTGTTATAACCGGAAGCGCCACCCAGCCAGGTCGGACGCCTCCACCTGGGTACAGCTTCGCAAAGCAGATTTCTCTTTCCTGCTTAAATCCTCCACCGGAGAGCGTGGGGGGGGGGGGAGACGTCGGAGGAATCTGGACAAGAATTGCTAGTTATTTCAGTGTGAGTCAGGTATGTTAATGCTAACATGCACCAGCTTATAAAGATAATCCCCTAAGTTTTTACGAATTTTGCAAGCCACTTGTTAAACAATCATTAAAAAAACTAAGTTATTGGACTGGAGAGATGCCTCAGTGGTTAAGAACGCTGGCTGATCTTCCAAGGGACCTGGTTTCGATTCCCAGCACCCGCATGGAAGCTTACAACCATCTGTAACTCCAGTTCCCAGGGATCCACTGCTGCCTTCTGATCTTGGGCACATGGTGTACACACACACACACACACACACACACACACACACACACACACACACACACAGAGGCAGAATACCCATGCACATAAAATAAAAATAATTAGGAAAACCAAGTTATAAAAATATGTGAAGTGTTAAAACTAGTACACACTCATCCCTTCCCAGTTTTAGTGTAATTTGCAACTTCCTGTGTTCTCGAGAGTCTTTGTGCCTGGGCCAGAGGAGATAACTCCATCAAGTTTTAGCACGAAAACCTGAAGCAGATCCCAGCACCATGTGCCTGCCTGTGATCTCAGAGCTAGGGACGGTGGAGATGGGATCCAAGGACCTTACTCTCCGGGTTTAGTGGGAGAGCTTGTCTAAGGTGGAAAGTGATTGGACACATCTGACATGGACCTCTTGCTTCCATGAGACGCATGTGCACACAGGGACAGGTACACATGAACATACCACACATACACACACACACACCACACACACACACACCACACACACACACACACCACACACACACCACACACACACACACCACACACACACACCACACACACACACCACACACACACCACACACACACACCACACACACATGCACACGCACACACGCACACACGCACACACACACCACACACACCACACACGCACACACGCACACATACACACCACACACGCACACACACACCACACACGCACACACGCACACACGCATACACACACACACACATACACACACACACCACACACACACATCACGGCCTTATGCCCAGTATCTCTAGAGTTGAAGTACTGCATAAGGTTGACACATTTGTATGTACATCTCAACTGTGTTTTCACTAGTGGTTTGAAATTAGCCTTAGTGTGAATATTTCACACCATGTAAGAGATTCCAAAGCCGGGGCTTCTGTTTGCTTCAGAAGGTTAGTTAAGTATCTATAGCAAACCACCGGTGTGCTTATGATGCTTTGGTTGTATTTGTCAGGGTCTACGTAAGGTACATTGCAATAAGATAGAAACCGTCTAGAATGTCTTTCAGATGACCCCAAGAGGGTGGGTGTTGTGTTATTACGTCACCGATGGGTGCATGGGCTCTGCTGTGGGCTCACTCTTCTTTTGTGTGTGTGGTCAGAGTTTCCTGTAATAAAAAGTTAAGACATTAATTAAGGTGTGCTATACTGGAAGGAAGCAAGCCGCCCCTGCTCAGTGGTCAGGCACAGGATTCTGGCCCTGCCCTTGTCTGGCCCTTCAATCCGGCTAGGGAAGCTCCTTTGGTAAATGTGCTCCAATTTTGGAGCAAGTGGTTTGTACAGATCGTTGACTTTAAAGATCTGATTCTCATCAATTAAAATCAAGAAGTCACGGTGCAGCTTATGGTATCGGTGAAAGCAAAGGAACCCAGTAGATGCGTCCCCAGGACGTTAAAGGTCTCTGGTTGCAGAGGAGGGATGCACTCGCTGGATCGCTCGCTGGATCGCAGTCCTGTTCGCAAAGCCATTCGTACAGAGGGGAAGCACACATCACGTTATTGCTCTGTGCCATCTGTGTGCTCTTCAGAGTTATTTTCAGCCGCGCTGATTTGAGTCATCACTCATGAGGGGAGAGTCGTCAACTGCTTAGTCTTGGGCACCTCCCTTAGTACCCCTTCCTTACTCACATGCTGGATGCGTTTGGAATTGCTGTCCCGTGAAGGAAAAGAATCGTGATTTCAGGGCTTAAAAAGTTGCAGCCTGCGTTCTTTGTGCTGTCTACGTTTCATAAAGCAAGCATCACAATGTTTTTGTTGTTATGTTTTTTTTTTTCCTAGCATGCGTTGTGGTATCAAACGGAAAGTTGTTACGTCAGTTACTTAAATAAAATGCACCTCTTGGTAAGATTGGAGTTCTCATGTCACTCACAATATGAGTTTGGAGTTATAACAGTTTCTTCCTGGATTTGATTTTGTATAGCAATTCATACGAACTTGATCTAGCAGACCAGAAAAAGATTACACAGCGTTGGCCATTGTGGTTGACCATCAACCAGAACACAGGCTGCTGGGCTTGGTGATGGGGACCAAGAGAAACAATGGTCTTGACAGGAAAAGCCAGCTAAAATATCCACTTTTTAATGTTAAGTTACACAGCTGGCTGCCCTGTGGAAAAAGACAGGTTTAATCATCAATGAAAACAGCAGATGTTAAACTCAGGTACCTGAGGTCAAAATACCAAAAGGAAATGTGACCTAGGGCACATGCCACCAACAGGAAGTGAGAGGGGGAAACCAGAAACCAGTTTAGGGCAGCAGGTGAGGAGCCTCCACAACTCCTTCCTCAGACAGGTGGCCTAGGGAAGTCTGGAGACCCTGGGAACCTTGGTGAGCTCCCAAAGGAGTTTCTTTAGGGTGGGTAGATAGACAGACAGACAGGCAGGCAGGCAGGCAGGCAGGCAGGCAGACAGATAGATAGAAGATAGAAGCCATAGTTCAAAATTAAGTTGGATCATGGAGATTGTGACATGTTTGCTAAAGAAAACACATGACCAGTTCTTAAAGTGGAATGGGCACAGGGCTGTGATTTACCCCACCAAATACTTATTGTCTTGGACTTGGTGGTGGGCAACTCAGTGATTTCCACTGAGAAAATCCTCTCTGTGGGCATGCTCACACCTGGGGCACACCGTCTAGCAGATGGAGACAGACAGACAACGACAGAATAAGCGTCAGGTGTACAGATAACAGATGAGTTCTGTGCAACGAACAAAGAAAGCAAGCCCTTCAAAGCTCCATCGTCCAAGGATACGGTCCCCACCTCAGAGCTACCAAAGAACGTCGATTACTCTCGATGTCGGTGAACTAAATACATCCACTATTTCTATGGCCAGTGGTTTAGGACACAAGTTAGTCAATGTGGTTTGAGAGAAGCCAGTTGTTTTTTTTTTTATACTCAGGTAAAATGAAAAGTGTGCCCCTGCGGGTTTTGATGGCAGTTCATAATCAGGAAGGCAGTGAAGCACGTGCAGCGGGGACACTGGGGGCGGGGTTACTCAGAAATGAGTCTTGATTACTTCCAGTCCTCCTGTTTGCCTCCAGCCTGGTGGCCAAGAAGATGCTTTTTCCTGGGAGGTGCTTTGTAGCGCAATCTCTCTCTCTCCCTCTCTCTCTCTTGTGCATGCATGCACACATTGTGTGTGTGTGTGTATCCTATAAAATATGGAGTTGTGGAGGTTGTTCATTCAGACAGGGTCTTACTATGTAGCTCAGGCTAGACCGGAGCCCATGATTTCGGCTCTTTCCCACCTGCTGGAATTATGTATGTATACCACTATATAAGCAACCAGCCACCTTCATGTCTTACTCTACTAAGCTGTCATAAATAAAAGTTAAGTTGCCTGTCTCTAAATGGGATTCTTTGAAGAGCAACCTGGCAAACGGATTGCTTCATGGAGGCGGCAACGTTTATCCCCAACATCCCAGAGCCATTAGGAGAAACGAGCAAACACATATACATGCAGACACACACCCCTGCCCTGCCCTGGGCTCTGTTTGGCTTTTCTATCTGCCTGTTAATCCTCTGTATCTTGAGAGTCCACAAGCTGTGCAAACTTCTCCTTTTGCAACTCACGTAAGCATAAGCTCTCACTTATGGTTGAGAAAACACTGTGCTTTGAATTTGGCGTGGTGGCTAAAATCTGTAATCCCAGCTCTTGGGAGATGGAGGCAGGAAGGGTCAGAAATTCAGGGTCAGATGGGCTACCCGGTGAGCGCCAGGCCAGGCTGAACCACACAAAACCCCATAGTGGAGCGGAACAAAACCCGGGACAAATCTGTGTTCAGAACTTGGTGTCAGGGTGGGCTCACATCCTTCCCTAGCCACATGTCTGTCTTAGCCATCTTCTTCATTCATGGTTGGGGATCAAACCCAGGACCTTCTGCATGCCAGGCAAGCACTGTACCACCAACCTCCAGCTGCAACTGCAGGTTCTCTCTGAGCTGACATTCTTAAAGCCAAGGGCACGGGTTCCATAGCCACTCAAGACAAGAGTACCCTGTGTCCTTAGGAGTGTTCTGTGTTCAGAGTTAGTCATCTATGCCATGCCTGTTTCCGTTTCCTCTCTCACTGTGCTTCCCATCTTCCCTGACTGTCTCGGCTGTTGTAAGGGGAGACACAAGGTCAGTTTACTTTCCTTGTCCCCTTCAGCCCCATAAGTCAGCAGATGCCCAACAAATTCTCCCGTCAAGTGAATTGAAACGAAACAGCTCTTAAAATTCGAGGCTCTGAAATGAAAGTATAATATTTGATGGGGGAGAAACAGAGACAGGAGAGGGCGTCTAGAGGAAAGGTCATCCAAGGGGCTGGTCTGCTTCTCTTTAAAAAATTGCGTGTGTGTGTGTGTATGAGAGAGAGAGAGAGAGAGAGAGAGAGAGAGAGAGAGAGAGAGAGAGAGAGAGAGAGAGAGGAGAGAGAGATATGGGGTGTCCTTCCGTGTGCTGTGAATATTGTTGCTTTTATTGCTTGATGAATAAAGCAGTTTTGACCAATGGCCAGGTAGAATATAGCTAGGCGGGAAATCCAAACAGAGCTATGGAGAGAAAGAAGGCCGAGCTGGGGAGATGCCATGTAGCTGCTGTAGAAGTAAAATACTAGAACATTACCGGTAAGCCATGGCCACACGGTGATGCCCAGAGTAGTAAATATGGGTTAATTTAATTGTGAGAGCTAGTCAGTAATATGCCTGAGCCATTGGCCGAACCATTAGAGTTAATATTAAGCCTCAGGATGATTATTTAATAAGCAGCTACGGAGACTGGTGGGTGGGAGAGAAACCCGTCCCGTGGGACTAGTCGAGGCAGAGTAAAACTTCCAACTGTGTATGTGTGTGTGTTTATAGGCACATGCTATGGTACATATATGGAGGCGGACAGCTTTCAGGAGTTGGGTCTCTCCTTCTACCATGTGGGACCCAGGGCTTGAACTCAGGTCGTCAGGCTTGGCAGCAAGCTCCTTTATGCACTGAGCCATCTCGCATGCCACTGGCCTGCTCCAGCCCCCGGTCTTCCATGTCTACAGAGAGAACATTTCAACTGAAGCCTGACTCAGGCTCTCCAATCTCTTTGGACACAACGGCAGTACAACGGGCTCAGCGTCTTAGGAGTGGCCCTGCCTGGCAGGACAGGCTGTCAGGTGTTTACTGAACACACACACCATCCATGTGGTTTGCATAGTTCACGTGTGTATGCTCACGTGCAGGCACACTTAGACTTGTTCGTTAGCCACTGCTGATTTTAGATTTTATTCATACTTGTGACAGCGGTGGACTTGCTTTGTGTGTGTGTGTGTGTGTGGGGGGGTGTTCATGTTTCCTTTGTCTCTTTGTAGTGACTGACAGGGGCTAAGGTTGCGGGTCATTAAGGATCCAACTTACTTAGGTTGCTAAGGAATTGTCCATGAAATGTTGCCCTTCATGTATTTAAACTTACTCAACCCTGTTTAAAGCCAGTGAGTGAGAATTCCTTTGGTTTTTCTAGGCCCTCTTCCACGCCCTGTCTCCTAGAATAAGTAGCGTGATTGTAGATCCCAAGAAATGACTGTGCTCTTTAGAATCCATGTCAGAAGGAGAACCTAAAGTTTCGAGTTTTGTCTAATGATACCTTGCACAACGGGATCATCTCACTTTAATTCTTACCGGGCCTGAGTGATCGCATAGACGTTTATAGTTTACAGTCGAACAAAAGATCCAATAGGATCCCAGCAGAACCACTCAGAGAAATAGAAGCTGTTACCTGAGAAAAGCAGAAGCCATTCTTTACAAATTGTCATTGTTTTTAGGAGTTCATTTACTAGCACAGAACGCGTAGCTTCACCCTGCTCTCAGTTCAGCGGGGATGGGTGAGAGTCACTTGTGTATGATATCGGCCAGTCCCACTACAGGAAAATACATTCGCATAAAAGATTAGATCAGTTACCGGACAACAAATTAAAGACTTACCTCTTGGAATCTCTCTTAAGTGTTGCTCTGATTACATTGGCGTTGCCAAGGGATTGGGGCTTATGAGTGAGATTTTAATAGCACTCCAACTAGTTCCAAAGTGTCTTTCATTGCCCTCAGCTCTCACAGTGTGAGCATGCTTGGTTTCACTTCCTGATTTGCCCAGCCCACTCAGCCTGTTCCTGGGAAATAATTTGAATAACAGGGTTAGGAGGGAAAGCCTCGCTGCCGAGTGGAGGAGCCGATTCAGTTCGATTTAGATTTAGTTCACGCTGTCATTCTTTTATTTAAAGTGGCTTTCACATTTTGCCTGTCAAGGAAAGGGTTTATTATAGCATTGTTGTACACGTATGCCATTAGTTTGTTCTGGTTCATTCCCCTCCCGTGGTGCTGTGTTCTTCTGTGAAACCTCCTCTTGATGGTCCTTCCTCCCTATTTGGTGATTTTTATAGAAGGAAATTGCCCGATTCTTTTTTGTTCCCTCCCCCTTTTGGCAGAAATTTTATTATGCATTATAGTGGCCACACTGTACAAAAATGAGTTTTGGAAGTAATAGGTGAAGAAAAAGTTAAAGACAAATAATGTAAGAAGCAAAACACCTTCCCAGAACTTCCTTCCTTCCCTCCCTCCTTCCCTCCCTTCCTCCTTCCTTCCCTCCCTTCCTCCCTCCTTCCCTCCCTCCCTCCTTCCTTCCTTCCTTCCTTTCATCCTTCCTTTTTCTGAACTGAAATTAAAGTTCCATTTACTAGACTGATATTGTATCAGAAATTGCCCAATTCTTAAACTGCTTAAACTCCGTGTGCGAGCGTGTGTGTGTGTGTGTGTGTGTGTGTGTGTGTGTGTGTGTGTACGTACATACATACGTACTTCCACAGAGGTCAGTGTCGGGTGTTTTCTTCAGTTTCTTCCCACCTTATTTTTTTGAGATAGGCTCCTTTACTGAACCAGGAACTCACTAGTTGGCTACACTGCCCAGAAAACCCCAAGGACCTCCTGTGTCTACCTTCTCAGCACCGGGATTTGGGGCCACTCGCTATTTCTGGCTTTTTCTTTTTTAATGTGGATCATGAGGGGCCAAGCTCCTATCTTCATGCCTGCCTTGTCTTGTGGGTTCTTTACTGACAAAGCCGGGCCCCAACCACAGCTGCTTAAACTACAAGGAAAAAAAAAAACTTCCTTAGCAATGAAATTAATTAGGTTGCGTCATCACTTCTACAGAACTGTGTGATTAGGCACCAGTTGTGAAACAAATGAAATGTTGGTCCATCGTTAGAGTAATTGTGATTTGATTTTCAACAGATTTGATTGTAGGGTGAGCGACATAATGCCTAATTTTTCCAATGAATAACACATCCCTGTGTATTAAGGTGATAACTTACTGTACAGTTGATATGATCTGGTGCCCTTGTGTGTGTGTGTGTGTGTGTGTGTGTTTTAAATGACTGTTCGTGCATGTTAAAGCATTGCATGAAATATTTGGCTCTTCTAAAGTAATATGTATATGGTAAAATACTTAATTTACTGAGGTATTCAGGTACCTTCTAGTCTAAAATACCACTTACCGAATTCATTTTTCTTTGAAAAGAAAGCCAGTTAAGACTTTCAGAAAAACTCTGCTTCCTCAAAATCGTTTTGTCTAGTTGCATCACAGGCCAGGCTAATCTGGAAATGTGATTTTTTTTCATAGCACTGTGATTTTTCTGCTTGAAATTTTAATTGTGAAGTCCACTTATGTTTTACTTCTTGAGGTTATCAGACATACTAATATAAAGTTAGACTTCCTGCTCAGTGTCAAGCTTTTACCAATGAATGTTTTCAAATTAATATCCCTGAAATGTTATATGTTCTGGGAGATAGTTTCCCACTATTCCATTACTCAATAACATTTTACTGCACGCAGGAGCCAGTCCAAATTCTTTTTGTATTATGAAAATCTTTGCTAATTCCCAAAGTTATTTTTGCTTTCCCAAACAATAATTCCTCAGGTATCTGTTAGGCTTGGGACTTGGATTTCATTCTGAAAATTTATTATCTTGATGTTTGAGACTTTATTTAATATTTGACCCTAATCTCTCTCTCTCTTTTTTTTTTTTTTTTTTTTTTTTGGTTTTTACGAGACAGGGTTTCTCTGTATTGTTTTGGAGGCTGTCAGTCCAGCCCGGGCTCGAACTCACAGAGATCCACCTGCCTCTGCCTCCCGAGTGCTGGGATTAAAGGCGTGCGCCACCAATGCCTGGTGACCCTAATCTCCTTTCCGTTATGTTTGTCACGCCTGTCTGAAGAATTCCAGTGCACCCTATCTGTTAACCCCTGAGCTCACCCTGACTTTCTGTTCAGATTTTGTTTAGGTCAGTCCCTCGCGATGTCCCCAGTCCCTCGCGGTGTGTCCCCAGTCCCTCGGGGTGTGTCCTACTTACGAGTCCCCTGCTTCTCTGTCCCTCGTCCCTTCATTCCCAGCTGTGCAACCTTGCATACCTTGCAGTGGTCATTACTCCCTTACTTGGGGGACTTAAGACATCTGCGGGCCATTTCTTCACTCTCTCTTTTTTCACCAAAGCACAAACCCTTCTGAGGGCCAGGTTTGGGCTTAGGCCATTGCGTCCCCTTCCTCACCTGGGACAGGACTCACGGTGTCAGAGTCCATGCGCGGTGGGGCATTCTTTCCGTTTCTCTTGGGGCATGACACAAGTTGGTGGCAGATGTGACTCTCATTTCTGCATGCCTGCCTGTCAGCCAGCAGTGGCTCTGTGGTGGCGTTTCCTGAGCCGCTAAGGCTCCACAAAACAAAACAAACAAAACGGTGCTTGGAATATAAGTACGAAAGTATGTCTTACGCAGGGGGTGCAGGGAAGAAAACATTCATGTTCTCAATACAATCTTTCCGCCTTTGGACTTTGGCTGCTGAGAAATTGCTCTCTCAGATTCATCTGCTGTACGCAGAGGAGGAATCCTGCAGACCCTGGGAGTCTCTTGAAGGTGCCGCTCCGCCACCCTCATTTAAAAGTCATGTGTTAAACTCCCAAAGGCGGCGTGTGACTTCGACTCATGGAAAACTGTCAAAGCTAAAATCCTCAAAGAGAACATTGGCTCTTCCCGGTGAAGCTTTGGGGCCCTGCGGAGCTCCGGAGTGGAAAGCAGACTGTGCAGAAGGCGGCCTGTCACCGGCTGGATCTTCTGATTTCCCCGTGCCCTGTGTTGATTTATGAGAAGCTTCCATGTGCTCCCACAGGCCCCTGAGTGTTTCTGATGGTGCTGAGCCACCTGCCCGCCCCGCCCCTTCCCTGTTGATGGGAGGTTCAGCGATTCTTTAGTCTTTGCAGGCAAGGACCTTTGTGCATCGTCTGTAGTTTGGTGAATCGAAGGTGATACGGTGGAAAGATAAGTTGTGGTTTCTGTTCGGGTCAGGACGTCTAATTTTAACCCTTCTATCTGTGCATTAATATGCCACGGCTGCTCCTGCATGGTAAGCCTGGGATACATTAATCAGCATAATATATACTGGCCAGACCTCAGAGCTTATTGCTGGTGGGAGGAAAAACCCTTTAATGGAGTGACTACTTATAGGATAATAGGGACTGTGAAAGGATGAGCAGAGAGCTACGGGAGCCTGTGGGGATCAGAACTGGCCAGGGTGTCAAGAGGAAGGAGTCCTGGGGAATGCCTTTGTGAGTCATTAACTCGGAGCATGGGGACTTAATTGACAGCCTTGTTTGATGGCTGAAGGTGAGTTTGACCTTCTGAGAGAACGTGTTGGCACAGCTTCAAGGGGCAGCCATTTTGAGTAAGTATTGGCCCTCCTGGGAGGGTTCCTGTGCGCACTGTGCTGTGAGGTGCGACACAGTGGGCAGTATGCATTTGTTCTTGGACCCAGTTTCTCTCTCTCTCTCTCTCTCTCTCTCACACACACACACACACACACACACATGCACGCACACGCACAATACACACACATGCCCCCACACTCATGCACAATACACACACAATACAAATATGCACACATACACACATGCGCGCGCACACACACACACACACACACACACACAGGCGTACAGTGATACTCATAACTGAATGATCCTGAGTTCTGGGAATCCCGTTACAGAATTACTGACCTGGAGGAGGGCTCAGACAAGGCAGCCGTGCACGTGGGTAGCAGGGATACCGTCAGAAGCCCGTAGGGAGGCAGAGCCCTAACTGGAAGGAGGTGGTAACCGGGAAAACTGTAAAGGGGGTCCGGTCTACCCTACATGGACGCCAAACGCTTTCACCGTGCCAACAGAGGAATCAGTGGCAAAGGGTTTTGGCCACTAGATGTCCCATTCACCAAACTGGGAAGGCACAGGACACTGATTCAAGAGGAGAGTGGACACTGAATCTGAACCACGCGTGACCGGCGTAGCAGCGTGCTCCTTCGAAAGGGACCCGAGTGTCTCTTGCGGCTTCTAGCCCAACACTTCCCTTCCAACACTTTCTTCTGGGGAGAAGACGAGCTGATGAGATCATCGTGCCGGCTCCCGGCAGTGTTGTGAAAGGTCTCGTCTGGGTTCAGGAGGTAGCAAGCTGGACTACCAGCCGGGCGCCGTGGGCGTTGGTTCTTGTGGTCTGCTGTCCACCCGCTTTCCCGTCTGTGGATATTACCCACCCGCCGTTACTGGGTAGATTTAACTCTTCCTACCCAGGCTCCTGTCTTACCACACAGAACTTTTCCCTCTTCCTTTGTGGGAGGGCCTTAATGTTTACAGGGCGACAGTGGCCACGTTTGTTGTTTGGTTTCCTTGGAACCAAACCGTGTAAATAAAGCCGTGGCCTGAGTTGTGTTGCTTTCATTCACTGTTCCGGGCTGTCTAAGGCTTACAGTCACCAGCCAGAGCTGGCTTGCTGCACGGGATCCGTTCGCGTTTGCCGCTGGCGTGATTTCAGAGGTGTCTTACCTTCAGCATCAGCTCTGAGGCCAGTGAGACAGAAGATGGAGGACCTGCGTGGGGCCCTTGAAGATGGCAGGGGAGGGGCGGGCCTGGGGCGTGGTCCAGGCCACGGGGAGCTAGCCTCCAGTAGGGGAAGCAGGCATGAGAGGGAAGACCAGCAGAGCCAAGACTTGGCCCCTTGGAAATTTATAAATAAAAATGGAGCAGTCTGCTTTGGCCTTCAGGGGC